TCACACCGATCGGTCCAAGTGAACGGTTGATCCTTCTTGGTCAGCTGAGTCAGCGGAGCTACTATCTTAGAGAATCCCTCAATGAATCGTCTATAGTAGCCCGCGAGCCCCACAAAACTTCGGACTTCAGTGACCGATCATGGACTCTCCCACTCCAATACCGCTCGTACCTTGGCCGGATCTACAGAGATCCCTCCAGCCGAAACAGCGTGCCCCAAGAACTGCACTTCTTTCATCCAAAATTCACACTTTGAAAGCTTGGCGTACAACTCCTTTTCCCTCAGGACGCCAAGTACGATCCTCAAGTGTTCCTCATGCTCGTCACAGCTCTTAGAGTAGATGAGGATGTCGTCAATGAAGACAGCCACGAACTTGTCCAGGTACGGTCTGAAAATACGGTTCATGTAATCAATAAAAATTGATGGCGCATTCGTTACACCGAACGACATCACTACGTACTCATAATGTCCGTAACGAGACCTGAAGGCAGTCTTCTAGACGTACCCTTCCTTCACACGAATTTGATGGTAACCGGATCTCAAATCTATCTTCGAGAACACGGTAGCACCGTGCAATTGGTCCAGCAGGTCGTCAATCCGAGGCAGGGGATACTTGTTCTTGATGATCAGCTTGTTTAATTGTCGGTAGTCAATACAAAGCCGGGAGCTACCATCTTTCTTCTTCACCAAGAGAACAGGCGCTCCCCAAGGTGATGCGCTCGGCCTGATGAACTTCTTATCCATCAAATCTTCAATCTGCTTCTTGAGTTCGGCTAACTCTGCTGGCGACATACGATAGGGTGCAATAGAAATGGGTCCGGCTGTTGACACCAAATCGATTGTAAATTCTACCTCGCGTGGAGTAGGTAGTCCAGGCACTTCATCAGGAAAGACGTCCGGGAATTCGTCCACAACCGATCGTCCGCCACTGAACTTGCTACTGAACGATCGTTCAGAATTTGAACCTTCAAACTCTTCCTCTGAGTGCATCATAATCAAAAAGCAACTTGCGCCCTCCATAATGTCTTCCTTTAGCTGTCCGAGCGTCACAGATAACTCTTCATCTTCTTCATCCGCAAATACCAATTGCTTCGCACCACAGTCTATGAGAATGTGATTGGTAGCCAACCAATCCATTCCTAGAATTACTTCCAAACCTTGAAGAGGTAAGCAAATGAGGTTAACCTTATATCTACGCCCCTCGACCTCTACAGGACATCTAATACAGACTGTAGACGTCCTGACCTCACCAGCCGCTGGGGTTGACACCACCAGGTCGAACTGCATCTCACTCTCTGTCAATCCCAGTTTCTCAACGCGCGCCTTCGAGATGAAGGAGTGTGTTGCTCCCGAATCATACAAAACACAGCAGGGCTTTCCAAACACTAAGCAAGTGCTGATAATGAGTGTACCTGAGCTGGCTGCTTCAGCGCCAGTGATTGCATATACTCTCTCTGCTGCCTGCGCTCGGCCTCCCCTTCCTTGCTGAATCCTTCCAGCGTTTGGCGGTCTCATGACCGCTCGTCCTCCCATATTACACTCGCTCTCCAGGTGACCATTTCTTCTACAGCGAGTGCAATATTTTTCTCCAACCATCTGAGGACATGAAGATCGGTAATGGGGTCCCCCACACTGAAAACACTTCACCGGCCCTTGCTGTCCAGACCGTCCGACCGCAACCACTGCTTGAGACCCACTTGAGCTTGATGGCTGTGGTGGGCGAGCGTACGAGCTCCTTCTCAAATTATTATTACCTCGAGACACGATCGGTCCCCTAGCCACTTGTTGTTTCTTCTGCTGTTCCACCTCTGCTACGTTCTTCTCCAATACTTTGGCTCTCTCCACCATTGTTGGAAAAGACTTAATACAAAGGCTTCAAATCAGTACTTTGAGATCGCTCCTCAATCCATTCTCAAACTTCCGACACTGCCACTCTTCACTGGTTGCCATGGTATTAAAACGAACGAGATGTTTGAACTTGTTGGTATATTCGGAAACAGACATCCCGCCTTGCACCAGTTGAAGGAACTCCACTTCCTTGTCGAAACGAACGCTGTCAGGGAAATACTCTTCATAAAACTTAGCCCTGAAGACTTCCCAGGAAATGGGACTTTG